CTTCGATTAAGATAACAATCTCCTAAACTCCTAGCCTCCATGTTTGTTTTCACCTGTTGTTACTCTTTATATCTATGTYACTCTTTATTCCTTTAGAGTGGGTGTGTTTATTTGCTTCTGATCATTCTCATATTTAAAATGAGAAATATATACAAAATAAGAACATGTCTATGTGTATTAATATAACATGTATATGTGTATCACTATCATTACATCTCATTAAAATGTCAATGACTGTTTTTATAGAATTGAAATAGAAGAAAATTGTATGGCTTTAAATAAAATACCATGGGAGGAAAATGTATAAGTACTGCTATTGGTGAACGTTGAGGAAAATATCTTCCTGGTAAAAAGGGGAAAAGTAGACAGTTGAGACAGTGCCTTCAAAACTCTAGCCTAGTGTCAGTTGCTGAGGATAATAGTATTGTTCGAACAGAATAGGAAGAGGTGCCAGAAATCTGTAAACTGGTAGGTGGAGGGGGAACTTACCAGGTGTCTGAAAAGTTGAACACATAGGCAAATCAGTATCACTTTCATACAGTAAGCTCAATCCTTTTTTTTTTTTTTAATTTTCCTTCAACTTCCAGACACCATTTTAGGGAAAACACTTCTAAATTTGAACCATTAAGTCTAATTGTGAACCTGAGAAATATGAATARTAAACATCTTATTTTTTCTGTTTCCAGGCTTTCTGAACATGCTGGGTGTTTGTTGTACTCTTCAGATTCACAATGCGACCCATTGCTTAATGTGTATCTCTAGAAAAGTTGCTAAACATTTTGAACAGTTRGTTGTTAAAACCCCTGACAAGAGGGAGCTTTCTGATAATGTTTGAGGAACTGAAAGGATTTCCTAAGAATATGACAGCCTCTCCCTGCTATGATTTGAATATGGTTTGTCACCTCCAAAACCCATGTTGAAATTTATTTCCCATGATGAGATGCAGTATTAAAAAGTGGAACCTTTAAGARATGATTAGAGCTCTGCCCTTGTGAATGGGTTAATACATTTCTGCAGTTAATGGATTGATGGACTAATGGGTTACTCAAAAATTCAATTGCTAAAGGACTAAGTCTCTAGCAGTAGATATTAAAAGTTCATTTTAGAAAGAACTAATGTTATTTTTGTTCCTTCTTTTATGCATGTTAGTTCTGAGGCACAGCTGAAACGTATGCTGTCTTGCTGTCTCAGGCTCTATTAATATGAGGTTTTTTTTCATAATTGTCTCAAAAGGGTAATAGGAAGATGGTGGAATGAGATGGACATCATTATCCTAAGTACAAGTATGAAGACATGAATGGTGTGAATATACTTTGTATAAACTAGATATGTGAAAAATTGTGCGCTATATGTGTAATATGAATTGTAATTCATTCTGCTATCMTATATAACAAATTAGAATAAAAAATTARGATTAAAAAGGGTAATAGGAACTGGTTGTATGATGCATGCTTCCAATCCCAGAGACTGGGRAGGCTAAGGCAGGAGGATGACAAGTTTGAGGCTAGCCTGGACAATTTAGTTTCAAAATAAGGGGAAGGGGTTGCTGGGGATGTAGCTCAGTGATAGAGCATCCTGGGGTTTAATCCTCAGAAATGCAAAATAAATAAATAAAAATCCAAGGGGTGTGATAGGCCCAACATAGCTAATGATGTTCAGTTTGGGGTGCCACATTTTTGTTGTTGTTATTATTAAATATTTTTTAATTGTTGATGGACCTTTATTTTATTTACTTATTTACTTTATTTTATTTACTTATTGCTGAGAATCTAACCCATTGCCTTGCATGTGCTAGGCAAGTACTCTACCACTGCTGAGCTGCAACTCCAGCCTCTGGAGTGCCACATTTTAAAAAGATTAGAAGTCATGTGTGTTACAAATGATATGGTCAGGAAAGGCCTTGCTGAGAATTAAACGTCTTAGTGTATTTGGGATACTGTAAGAAAATGCCATCAGCTGTGTGTCTTATGAACAACAGAAATGCATTTCTCACAGTTCTGGATGTTGGAAAGTATAACTTCAAGGTACTAACAGATTCAGTGTCTTGTTAGGGACACCAATTCCTGGTTTTGAAGGATGGAATCTTCTTGCTGTGTCCTGACATGGGTGAAGGAGCAAAGCAGTTCTTGAGCCTTTTTTATAATGGGACTAATTCCATTCATGAGCATTCCACTCTCRAGAACTACTCATCTTGCAGAGATCCCTCTTCCTAAGACTATCACATTTGAGACTATAGCAATGAAGGAGCAGATTGCTAATATCAGGAGGAAGAGCATSTTTAGCCCACAACCAGCACCGGCTTCGTGAATGAAGGTTCCAAACGTGAGAAATCTCTAGGGAGTTTTGAATTAAAGAGACAAGACTCTAATTACCTTTAAACCAGCTCCAGGACGGCTCCTCCTAGCTCCAGCCTCCAGCCACCTATTGTGGTATGGAGGTTTACTGAAGAGGGGAGACAGAGAGCGAGAGAGCGAGAGAGCGAGAGAGAGAAGAGAAGAGAAGAGAAGAGAAGAGAAGAGAGAATACGCCAGGGAGTGGACTTTTATTGGGGAACAAAAAATTCTGGGGAAAATCCCATCCAATGAAGATTAAGGGGGGCAGCGTCCCAAGGTCATGGGTGACGATTGGGTCTTCAGGGTAGTGGCCAGATACGCCTCCACACGGATAAGCCCTTGGACCTGAGCMSGGTGGRGAAAGCTCTGGACACAAGATGTGCCTAAAACGCCTCTCGCCCAGCCAGGGAGGAAACCAAATCTCGTGYGAGGATGGCCTCCCACAARCATCTGTGTAGGGCAATAGCAGGTTCAGATGTCCCCAGGCATCAGGAGYAGACCAGGAGTATCTGTAAAACAGCAAAAGATCAGATGTGATGAAATGGAGAGAGAAGTAAGGAGATGTGGTCAGAAGTCATAGAAGGCCAGATTATATAGAGTTTTTAAGGTTTACAGACTTTGGTTTTTATTCTGAATAAGATGAGGAACCACTGGAGAGATTTTGAGTACAAGAAAGACTTGATCTAATGTATAATTCAGTGAGATCACTCAGATTCAGTGCTAAGATTGGACCATGGTTGGGAGTGGTATAAGGTGGGGAAACCAAAGTCGAGCGATTATGGCAATAATCCGTGGTGGTTTGGAATAGGATGGCATTAGTGGAATTGGTAAGAATTAGTTAGATCATGAACATTTTGAAGGTAAAACCAACAGAGTATGTTGAATCGAATGTGGGATGAAAGAAAATAGAATCAAGAATGGCTAGGATTTTTTGCTGTAAGCATCTGGAAGTCTGGAGTTGCCATTAACTGAGAAGAGAGAACTGGATGGAATAGTTTTGTGGTGAATGTCAGAAAGGACATCTTTAGAGGCCCATTAGACATCCAAGTGATTAATATATCCCCTTATGTAAGTCCTTTTGAATGGGAAGCYAAATCAGTTTTCTTAGAAATGAAGGTAAACTCAGGAGATAAGAGTTGAARGATCATGACTGAGGTGATAGTCTGAGCATTTACCTTCAGCTTCTGAGGGCCCTGAAACAACCCCTCTTCCTGAATGGGGCTGTTACAACTAGACACCAGTTCTGTCATCAGACTCCGTTTTCTAGTCTTTATTTTCTTTTCTTTTTCTTTTTTTTCTAGTCTTTATTTTAATCATTCCATTTTGTACACATTGTTTCTTCAAAATGGGTGGAACAGGCTGTTGTTTTGTTTCTTTATGAGGTTATCCCCTCGAAGCTTCTCGGTCATCACAACTTAGCAGGAAACTTCTTAGCAACTCAAACCATTTTTCAATCATTACTTTGAGTGAGTTACTTATTCAGATGGTTGATTACCAAAAGAGTTGCTTCTTTTCCCTCCTTCCTTTACTTTTGGAGGGTAACCTTCTCTTTATTTTAAGTCTTCTAGCAATAAATGCTGCTTGAATGAAAGTTAGTGGARTACTTTAGGTCTCTCCTAAGTATTCATCTTTGAAGTATGTTGTGCTTTGGGTATGAGRTGTCCCCTGAAAAGGTAATGTTTTAGACAGTGTTCAGAGATGGTATGATCATGAAAGCTGTAACCTCATCAGTGGATTAATCCGTTTAATGGATTAATAATACCAGAAGGCAGAAGAACCAACATGTTAACAATTGGTGCCATTCATAGTGGAGTAGGTTATTTCTTGAGGTAGGAGGTCTGTGGGAAACATTCAAGGAGACAGTTGGTGATGATCTGGTATGTTGAAGTGATTTCTGTATTACATGAGGTATTTCTGAAGTACCCTTCAAAATTTAAGATTGGTTTGATAATGTCATCTTTCTCTTTTTTACTGAGCCACTGGTGCTATTAGGAATTATAGCATAGCTAGAGTAATATAATTCCCCAAATGCCCTCTTGACTTTTTCATTAGCTGTAATATTTGTGAAACAGTTGGCTGGAGTGGGGGCAGTCCTGTAATATCTTATAATGGTATTAAAGTTATTAAGGAATCATTGAATGACCCTGTCTTCCTTAGCTTTAGGCTCTGCCTGATTAAACCTGTTAGTGGTTATTGAGGTTTGTGTGTAGGGGAGCATTTTCTGAGGGTTGAAGAAATTTTTGCCTTACAAGATTTTATCCTAAATAAGTCAAGTGTTGAAATGCATTGGAAAATAGGCTGGCTTTATCTTTTATACATATGGACCCAACCTGGAATGTACCTTTGAAATCTCTAGAAGTCCAGGATAAGTTTTTCTATGTTTTTTACAGCATAGGTTTGTAAACAGTAATTGCATTTTATAAACTGCTTTATTTGTGTCTATGTACATATGTGCATCTTTGTATATGTTCCACATTCTTCACCAAAAGAGAAATAACAAAATTAGTATTCTTAGTGTTTATCAAAATAAAAACATRATCACTGATGTTGCCATCCAATTAAACACTAAATATTTCCAAGAATTAAGTACATTGCAGACCTTTTAAAGTATATATTTTATTTTTGTTAATATTGAAAATTAATTRTGATACCATTTATATTTTATAGGATCTAAGCCTTTTCCACGTTATGGTTATAAACCCTCCCCTCCAAATGGATGTGGCTCTCCGCTGTTTGGTGTTCATGTAAGTATTATTTTTTCTTTGGTAAGTATTATGACTGGTGGTTTTTGTTTTAATAATTTTGACAATATAAGACTTTGTGTATTCCTAGGCTTACAAATAATTTTGCTTGTTGTAGTAATGATTAGGTTTATTACATTYTTTTTTGGCAAAACGTTTAAYTCTTAGAAAAAACAAAATGGTGTAAAATTGATCTTGTTTACATTAATATCATTTAAATTAAATTATATCACTTAAATTATATTTTAAAACACAATTTTAAAGTTTAAAATAAAAGAGTAATACTAGGGGGAAATATAAATAAAACATGTGTTCTATATAAAAACAAGGCTCAGTGGCAGTTGTTGGGGACACTGGACCTGAGCCCATAATTATAGGAAAAAAAATGTTTATGAGAATGATTCCTACACAAAAAAGTTTTGTGAATTMTTTAAAATAAATAAGAGTTGTACATTCAAAATAGTGATGTTTGTGGAGAATGGATAAATATCAAAAGCTTAGGAAACAACCAATATTTGAGTTCTAGATATTTAAAATTTTCTGTGAAATTTCACAAAAAAGCACATTTTATTTGTTAGGAGGTTAAAAAAAAACACTTTGAAAATACTAAAAAATCAAACTTACCTAGCTTTTGTAGAAATCCCTTAATATCTTTGACCTTATCTTTTTCTTTTAAAGTTATGTTTTATGTTTGGACAGTAGGAAGTTGTTTTTGTTGCTGGTGGGAAATTGAGTATTCTAACATTGAAAAATAGAGARCAGTGAGGCATGCCAGAGACACCGTCCCATAGGTGGGTCTGGGTAAAAAGGTTTGTTACATGGGACACACCTGAAGGTAGAAATGGGTTTGTGAGTTTTCTACATAGTAGTCATTGTCATTTACTTCTATTAAGTCTATTTGAATGTAGTACTTTAGGAGAGGATGTTTGCATTTCATTAACAATAATCTACCTAAATGCCTCTTTCAGCTTAACATTGGCATCCCTTCCCTTACAAAGTGCTGCAACCAACACGACAGGTGTTATGAGACCTGTGGCAAGAGCAAGAAYGACTGTGACGAGGAATTCCAATATTGCCTCTCCAAGATCTGCCGAGATGTGCAAAAAACACTRGGATTAACTCAGCATGTTCAGGGTAAGAATGTTCTGGTGATTTAGGGATGAAAAAAAAATAAAAAGTGCTAGGAAAACTTGGAGGAAGGTGTCTGAGGCAGAAAGAGAGAATTATTCATCCTTGTGCCTTGGAATATGACTCTAATCATTCAGAACCTAAATTGAAACCCGAATCCAGTTGTCTTAATCCACTGGGTCTACTAACAAACAAACTACAATAGACCTAGTAATGTAGARACAATAGAGATTCATTTCTCATAATTCTGGGGTGTGAGAAGTACAAGATCAAGGCACTGGCAGATTCATTGTCCTGTGAGGGCCTACTCCCTGGTTCCTAGAGGTACCTTCTAGCTGTGTCATYACATGGTGGAAGGGATTAGGCAGTTCTCTGGGGCCTCTTTTWTAAGRGGAGTTATGCCATTTTGGGGGGATCCACTCTTTTGACCTATTCATCTCCCACAGGGCTCACCACCTAATTCAACATCTTGGAGGTTAGGATTTCAACACAAAAATTTTTAGAGGAACACAAATGTTCAGATGATAGCACTAGTGAATTTGAGAGYATTAGGACACTGATTTTGGAGGACGTTCTAGAAGATTTGAGTCTTACCTTCTCCTTTTGTATCCATGTTGGGAGGGTCCCCCCAGACCACACCCCTAGGTTCAGTGATATGCTAGGAGGACTCACAGGTCTCCTCGAATAGTCATAGGCACCACTGTGATATATTGTGGTGAAGGGATGCAATGCAAATCAGCAAAGGGAAAAGGAGCTTTTGTATCCTCATTTATGAAATAAAGAGTTGTCATAGGGGAAACCTAAAATATTTGTGAAATGTAAATCAGTATTAAAGTAGTAGTTGTAGTAGTAGGTATAAGATTTCTCTACTGTCAAGCTGAAGAATGTGCTATACATTGAAATCAGAAGAGAAAGGGCAATGAGAGGGGCAGGAAAGGAAACTAATATTYTTAATCATTTACCTTAAGATACTATGCTGGATAGTATCTTCATGTTTCCATTTGATACAAAAATCCAAAGARGGAGGTGGTGTTATCCCTATTTTTCAAGGAAGAGAACTGAAGTTCAGAAAGTTAGACTTTAGACTATCTGACTCTGAGACTTGTTTTGTTTTAGAGTATTCCCATAAATAGTCATAGCTTTTATCCCTAAATCCTAATAACTGTACAGGATGAAATCTCTGTACCTGGTGAAGCTTGAATTTGCCACCTCTGTCCCCTTGCATGCTTTTGGCKAAGGTAAACTAGTGCACAGCTGAGGCGTAGAAGATGGATGCATTTCCTGTTCTCTAAGGAGGACATAGGAATGTGGCTAAATGATGAAACCAATTTTCTTTCAATCTCCTTAATAGTCTAGCCTTTGTATTTCCTTGGTTGGTTGTGCTCCTTAATGGCAYAATCTTTTGGAGAACTTTAAAAAATAAAGTGTTATGATTTTAATAAAAAGATTCKTCCTTATCATGAATATTTGAAACTGAAAGTATTTGAACACCAAAGCCATCTTGTGCCACATCTCTGTAAATGTTGAAATAATCTCATTTGGATGTTTCTGTTTTCTTAAATAAGAAAAGGAATGGTATTGGGGATTGATTCTAGGAGCATTCTATCACTGAGCTACATCCCATCCCTTTTAGTTTTTTTTATTTTGAGACAGGGTCTTGCTAAGTTGCCCAGGCTGGCCATTATTTTGGTGATCTTCCTGCCTCAGCCTCCCAAATTGCTGGTATTATAGGAATGTGCCACAACATCTTGCTTCCATTACCTTTTTTATAGTTTCCTTTT